CCCAGATACCAGCTACATATTCATCCCACAGTCTTTGATTTGCTCGTATTGCCGTTCGTGATGTATAACTGTGTAATTGAAAATTAGAATTTTGATATTTTTATGTACTACATTTTTATAAAAATATATGAAGTTGTATAATACATACTCCAAGTATTGAAATACACGCCATCGTGTATACTTGGAGTATGTATTATACTTTCTTATCTAAGATTAATCAGTGGACCTTTCGGTTATATGAAGTTGTACAATTGCAAAATCGTATTAAAAATGTAATTTTATGTACACATTTAAATTTATTGTTTATAGTCATACAAAATCGTATTAAAAATGTAATAACTTGATTATTTTTTACGTTTGGTTTGCAGCGTATTTCAGTTAACTTATTCGTTATTTGTACTATTTTGTTAATTTATTTAATTAAATTATATTTATTATATATCATTATATATAATAAATGATAAGAATGTATCGAGTTTTTTAACTATCTGGCAAGCCGACTGAATTTGACAGATGACTATAAACAATAAATTTAAATGTGTGAGGCCTATGTTATTATACAGTATTTACTATGGTTTTTTAATTTATATATTTTTATTTTTGTACTATTTGTTAAACTTTTATATAATAAATGATAAGAATGTATGGAGTTTTTTTTTTTACTATCTGGCAAGCTGACTGGGCAAATACTCACAAAATTTAAATTAAAACGATAAAGAACAAGTAAATAAATTGAAATACGTCCCAATAAATATTTAATAAATCAGTGCAAAAACCGAGTATTAAATAAATTGAAATAATTGAGTAAATAAACTGAAATACATCCCAAACAACAGTACCAAGTACGAATAAGTTAATTGAAATACGCCGCAATTAACGCACTATATTCACTGAGAGACGCGCTTGGCGTTCCATAGAAATGACCGGCGGCTCAACCGGTCATAATCCCCTATGCCTAGCTAGGCCTAGGCCTAAATTATTTTTATAAATAAGCTTGACAAAAAATTATTATTATTATATTAGGTCGCCTAGGCCTAGCTTAACCCAGGTGGGTGATTCATTATTTTGGAAAGCGAATTATTTAACCTAATCATAGCCGTACAATGTGCAAGGCCTTCCATAAAACAGCCTGACTAGGGCCTAGGCCTAGTTCCTTGTCAACAAAAATAGCAGCACGCTTCCCTCAAGTAAGTAATCTCACCTCAGCTGAGGCCCTAAAAGCCCTGCTGGGGCCTGGTGCTAGTCATAGCAACTTAATATGAATGCAACGAACTGCTTAGGCCTAGGCTCTGGCCTAGCCTAGCCTAGAGTAGCGTACATACTTTGAATTAATTATCGAATTACTTACCGTATAAAGGTATAAGCTCATAAATTCTAAAATATTGTAGGTACTATATTGAACGTTATCGAACACGAATTCGCCATTTTCCCATGATCATAACGTAACGTTAAAATGTATGCTCCGTTCGGATGAGTCATCAGCAGGGGTGACGACAAAAAAATAAAAAACGAGACGGACGTCGACTCGCTCGTATCATTTTTGTAGTTGAGAGAGGGCGACAAACGTCATAAGAGAAATCTCCGGTGTGGTTAGATTTGTGGAATCAGCGTGACCACTGGATTTCCCCAAGATCTTGGGTATTTTGACATGGTCTTGGCCACTTCGTTGAGTTTTGCTTACTTGAATGGACTGAAATATACTTTGTTACTTCTTAATTCTTCCTCTATGACAAAAATATTTAATTTTCTTACTAAAAATAAAATACCCAGGGATTTGAACGGAATACCCAAGAACCCAAGGGACATAACATTGTTAATTGACAGTTAATAAACATGGGTTGGTTCAGAATGGTTTATTTGTGATTTGCGTTGCCATTGATCTTACCTAATTAATGCATTACATAATAAAACTTGCACTGATAACACTGGCCGACTGAGGGCGTATTTTCTATCCGTATCAAAGATCTTATAAACACAAGATAGCGTTCTCCGCGATTTACGCGTGCAAATTCTGTAATAAGGCATGAATGGCGCCCTCTTGCTAAATTGGAAACTTTTGACCTTTGACCGCTATGACCATACTTTTCCGTACGAAACATTTACATGAAACTCCACTCGGGCCGTCTCGGCTGAATCGACCCGAAAATCTCATTGCAGAATTCAGGAGGTCAAAAGGTCATCAACGGATAAACGTCTACAGAACAACTTCTGAGCTGTCTCTTATACACATCTAGATGTGTATAAGAGACAGATTCCAAACAAGATCAAAGGCGCAACGCATAAGCCTAAACTATAGATAATTCCTATTTGAATCATTACCTTAAATTTCCAAGCTTACTACCAGGGTTCGACAGGCCACAAATACATGACATATATCATAATTTATTGATAAAGTAGTATAGTAACGGCAGTACTGTGCTCCATTTCTCAGCTATTTGTACATTGCCCTCAATTCGCTAAACACTTATGAATAATGCATAAGCCACGGTTGAAAAATGTAGCTCATAAACCATCCAAACCCATAGAGATATAACAAAGATACTAGAAATACAAGATAGAGTTCTCGTTTTGGGCAATTTTTGCTAAATCTTGGGTATTTTCGACCCAGTCATTGGGTATATCAAATATTGTGAGTGGTCACGCTGTCTGCGTGTGGTCCATTTGACAAAATGTAAACAACATTATCAGGACTCAACAGGCCGAGGATAAGAAATTAGCAAGGCTAGCCTAGAGTTAGCGCTTGCTGTATTTGTATTTCCGGTAAACCCTGATAGTCTTTGTGAGTAATTTTAATTTAACATGAAAGATATGCACGTATATTACCATGCTACTATGCCTCCTACCTAGCCTAGCAGTATATACCTAGCTAGCCTAGTTAGTCTAGCCTAGGCTAGCCATAGGCATGTCGCCGGTACTGCTAGCTAGAAGTACCCTAGCCTGAGTAAATTCAACCAAGGCAATTCAACAAAAGGACGCACTCGGGACATCAGAGGCTATGTTCACACACGGCAGCTAACAATTTGCTGAAGTGCATCCATACAAGACTACTAGGCCTATACCTATCTATCCCCGGTCCAGGTACCAAGAGATGATCGAATCAACCACTAGGAAACTGGAAATCGGAAACGCGTATGTATGATTGGTTGATGATAGAAACGCGCTCAACTTGCTAACCGATAGTGTTCTTTAACCATTAGCATATCCGGACCCAGTGACGGTTAGCACTAGTTACCGATCGGGCGTTCACACATGGGTGCTAACGTTCAGAGCAGTTAGCGCCCGATCAGGATACCAGGCTCTCGTGTGAACCTGACCAAAGGATAACTCTGGCATTGACATTCTGCGCACTGCTCGCCCCTCTACATGCTGATCGTCACAAGAACCAGCAACCAAACCATAATTAATCGTCAGCATCACGCATGTGTTAGTTGCCATGATAATCGTTCATCGTGCAGTGATTACGAAAGCGTAATGATATTTTGCACTAACATTAGACTGAAATTATATTCTTTATTTTAACATTAATTTTACCAATGTTGCGGTGAGACTCACTTCGCTGAAAAAATTAATAAATTTTCTGTATCTACTCAAATGTTCGTTGTGTGCACCTTAATCCAACATTGTCAAAATGACAGTTTAATGTTATACTGTATAAGAAAATATAATTTCATGAAAAGCGTAAATTTTCAAATTTTTGGGTCAATTTTCACATATATAGTCCGAACATTTAACGCTCATGGTCAAAAGAAATCAGATGTAACAGACATTGCGAAGTACCCCGTTCTGTTTGAGTGTGGAGATGTGCATCCTTTTGTTGAATTGCCTTGATTCAACCAGATGAATCTTTGCTCTAGGCCTATGCTAGGGGCTGCACGTAAGCTAAACCTGGCCTTGCCATCGTTTTTTTGTATTTCCCTCACTTTCTAGTCAAAGGTTAATCAAAATATCATATACTGTACGGTAGGTATCAAAACAATTGTCATTCACAGACCTCTGTGGATTTTGGCTAGTTCTAATGTGGCAATTAAATTTGCGAAATATGCTCAATTTTCTGGAGTACGTATTTCTTGTGTAGGTGGCCCCATTAGGTCAAAACTGCAATAAACAAAAATGGGAATAGCAATGGTAAGTAGCAAAAGGGCAATGACAAGTACCAGAATGGCAATAGGCATATAGACCAAACGGCAAATGTGCAAAATCAATGAAGCGCCGCGGAGCACGGGCCGCAGTTTATAGTTTTCTGAATCGTCTTGAAATTGGCCCGCTCACCTGATCATATAAATCAAATCAAATATTGCCATGGGCTCTTTTTCCCACTTTTTATGTTTAATCACATTTTTTTAATACTGCTTTTATATTGTGTTTCCTCCATTCCTTTTATTATTTAATTTGTATGGTGTTATATTGTTTTTGGTTTATTGTCGTTTTGACTTATTGCCATTTTGGTCCATTGCCGTTCTGGTGAAGAGTGTTGCCGTTTTGGTTTATTGCAGTTTTGGTTATTGCCGTTTGGCCTTATTGGCATTCTGGCTTATTGCCGTTTTGACTAGAAAGCTCAGTGTAACATATCCACAAAGGTAAATCTGTGTAATTGTTAATGTTTATGAATAAATTTACTTGACTTAAAACACTGATGAAAAACACTGTAGATATGTAGTGTTAGGTACAGGTGCTCCTGGACAATTACCCTTTGTCCCTGCTCCACTATCTTGTATGTTAAACATATACCGTATTGTTTTATCAGTTATTGCAGTCACATTAATTTGATTATACTTCCTTAGAAGTTAAATTCCACAATTAAAAATGTGGCCATAGCTAAAGATATGGACTATATTTTATGTTTCTACGAAATTATATCATTTTCATTGAATTTATTGTTAGAAAGCTAAATGAGTGTCTCCCAGACAATTGTCGCATTTTTAAATAGTAAACCCCTTTTTACTTGGTGTTACTGTATTACTAAAATTAGCCTGATCTGTATTTATTATTTGCTACAGAATAAACTGGGTATGGCAGCCAGGAGTGCTACAAACAGGCAATCGCAAAACATGGACTCAAATGAGATATCTACCATACAGTGTGCTGAAAATCCTATGTTCTGTGAAAGTAGCTACAATGGTAAAGCAGAGAATGGTAAACAGAACCGTTGCTGTGATAACTGTGCACGTTCCTGTAATACTGCCTTTCGGCCGTGGATGTCTAAATATTATCAACCGAGAAGAAATCCTACTCTTACTGAACGGCTAAAATACTCACTGACGTGCCCTCCCCATGGACTTGTTTCTAAGCTTTTGCTGTATATACTGCTGTTAGGTGTAGGCTGGGGTGTGCTGTGGGTAATAACTGGTGACGAAGCCCTCCCTGGAGGGAACTTATTTGGACTCTTTATATTAGTGGTATTTTCTCAACTTTGTGGTTCTCTTATTCAACTGATAAAATTACCTGAACTTCTTGGCAAGTATTTTGTTATAACAGTAAATAATAATGATGGTCTTTTTAACGTATTGTATATAAAACGTTCCACCGATCAGTCTACTTTGTGAATACTTACATGGATAAAGCGACAAATTGCCTATTCTTTCTCACACATGAGAACACCCCTCGAAAAAATAATAGAACAGTCACAAAAATGGCTACACCTCGTTAAAGGATTTTATCCATCTATTGATCTGCGACATAGGATTATATATATTGCGATTTTGACAATCTTTTTTTTAATTTATTTGTATTGCTGTTTGCTACGTGGATTTCTATATTGCTGTGCACTCCACTATGACCGGAAAATCAGAATGTCCGATTGCGGGGTAGTTTCTGCTCGACTGTTCTATTATTTTTTGAGTGGTGTTCCCATGTGTGAGAAAGAGTAGGCAATTTGACGTTTTATCCAGTTAAGTATCCACTCATAGACTACCAACATCACCATTGATTTGTGTAATTTGAATTTGATTGAAAGGAAATTCCTTTATTCAATTGCATTAGTTTGAGACAGCACTATCCTTCAAGCACTTGCATTCTTGCATTGGAAGATAATAGTATCAATAATAGTATTGTTTTGCTATAGTAAACTTTGTAATTTTGAACAAAAATATAAAATTTTATTTTGATTTCTTTAGGAATGCTCATAGTTGGTTTTCTGCTTGGGAATGTTCCTGCCATCAACTTTGCGGAAGATATCCATCCGGAATGGTCATCGTCCCTACGCAGCATGGCACTCGTTGTCATCTTGATTCGTGCCGGGTTGGGCCTAGACGCAGCGGCTTTGCGTCAACTTAGCTGTGTTTGCATCCGGTTGTGCTGTATGCCATGTGTGGCTGAGGCTACTACTGTAGCTATTGCTGCTAATCTGTTGCTAGGTTTCCCATGGGTGTGGGGATTTATGATGGGGTATAATATGATGAATATAATTATTATAAGTGAACAATATTTATTGTTTAGTTTTTTAGTTTAAGGCAATAATGTTTAATGTATAACTATGTTAAATTCATTAATATGTGGCAAAGACAAGCCAAACCAGTCACTTGTTGCAAAAATCGATTTTGAGTTATTAATACAGTGTTATAAAGTAAAATAATAGTTATAAAATGGTAAAAAAATCATTCAAATCTGACATTTCCTTATGAAGTTACAAGCGTTTAACCACACAGCTGTTTAAAGAACAATATATAAGAAATTAACCGTCAAAGTTTATGATTTCAGGCATTTCTCATGCAGAAACTATCTTTAGATCCTTAAAAAGTATTGTTTTAACATTGAAAATGGGGAAAATAACAGCATAGAATGATGTGTAGATATATAAAGGTTAGTTTAGTGCAATAAAATAGATTTTTTTAAATTTGACATTCCAGCATGTTTTAGCCATTTTCTCTGAAACACGATTTGCGACAAGTGACTGCTTTGGCTTGTCTTTGCCACATATGATAAATTTAAGGATTACGAAATACCAAACTTTAATGTCAGACTGTTGGTAACATAAATTGTTTTTAATTGATGATCTATCACACCCTTCATTTTTGACATATCACAAATTTCCTCTTTCAAACACTTGACCAATAATAATCCCCTATTCAAACTGTTGATCAATCACAAATATATTGAAGCCTGACCAATCATAAACTTTCTTTTTCAAACTTTTGACCAATCACAAACTTGCTCTTTCAGATTTGTCCTAGGAGCAGTTACACCTGCTGTAATTGTGCCTACATTGTTAAGTTTGCAAGAGAGGGGGTTTGGAGTGAGCAAAGGCATCCCAACTTTGGTGATAGCTGCAGCCAGTTGTGATGATGTCGTTGCCATCAGCGCATTTGGGGTATTACTTGGCTCTGCATTCTCAACAGGTAAATACAAACATTAAAATTTATAAGTCAGTTGTGACAACTTCATTTTCATTTGCATGTAATTTTCCCATCCTCGAGCAGGCACTAATTTGATTTAGTGCCTCCTATTTTTTGTCTTGTGTGCAAAAAGCTCCAAGTATGAGTGATTATACATTGCGTAAATATTTCATTGCTAGGCCAAGCCCTGAACACACAAAGCAAACCTAATAAATCTCACTCTACGGTGCTGGTTAACAAGAATGATACCTAGAACATGCTAGGCAAGGCCTAGAAAGGTACACAGTTATGAGATAACTAGGTGATTGATTTATAAAAGAACTGAAAAGAGAAGGCAACACTATAATAATTCATAATAATGTTTACCATAGATTTTAATCTACTAAACAAATGTCTACCAGGAGTTTAGGCCTACCTAATAACCCTTAATAAACTTCACCAACCACAATCGATTTATTCATCTTCTGCAAAGAGTGTCATGCAAGTACTACTAGTAAATCATTCTCATACGTGCAGCTAAAGCACACACACATTTAATTTATCGATCACTGAGCAACCGGTCACCACAACCAGCAGTTTGATTTTTGATTATGATGGTCTTCAGAACTTGACAATAATTGCATAATATACATACTGTAGCTACCTAATGTAGCAAGATAAGAAAGTCTGTATATACCATTCCATCCTGTTTCTTGTAAATGAAACCCAAATATATCATCAGTGTCCTATTTGACCTTCATCTTGGTTGACCTCTACTTTGCTTTTCAATCACTGTCCTAATATTTTCTTTCCATCAGGGCACAAAAATGTTGTCATGATGTACTTTGATAATAATAATAGTAATTATTGTGATTAAAATAATTATTTTAGATTATTTTATTTTATTTTTTTTCGCAGGGAATTTGATGTATAACATTTTCCGTGGCCCACTTGAATTATTGATTGGAATTAGTGTTGGCGTTTTATCTGGAATTCTTCTATGGTACATTCCCGATCAATCTCAGGTATCATCATAACTTTTAACAATTCTGGCATGAAGAAACCCCTCCAATAGAGATACTGATAAATGAATAATGAATAATAATTATAATGCCCGATGTCTAAAAGGGTAGCCATTTTCAGGGAGCACTTTCAACCCACCAAGCTTTGCTCCCAGCCCCTGTGTGTCTCCATCTGAAATTGTTTGACGCCCTAGTCGGACAGCTGAGCCCCTGAAGACAGTTCACATGAAGTCTAGATAAAGATGCTTCATGAAATAACAATCATGTATAATAATGCTACTAGTGCTTGAAGTGAAATTATTTTTCATTTTTACAGGTTAACTTTTCACATAAAAGATTCATCCTGTTATTCTGCACCGGTCTATTTTATGTCTTTGGTAGCAATTTAGCAGAGTTACCTGGATCAGGAGCTCTTGGCTGTCTCACAATGGCGTTTGTGGCCGGACACGGCTGGAAACAAAACAAGGTAAAGGGAAGATACAATTAATTACTGGAACAGCACACTCTAGCAAAAAAGTCTCAACACTAAATTTAAATAGGATGGTAGAAAGGAAAAATACTATGCTATGAATAAAACTGAAACATTAAATACAAAGTACTAATGATGAGGAGGGTAGTTCATCAAGAGATGAAAAACATATAGTAAAAATCAAACATATAAGCATTAGACTAAAAGCATGGCACCTTGACCATGATACCCACCAAACAATAGCTCCCACAATCAGGATGTTGCACTAAAAAATGTAACAAATATTAGATTCATTTGTCTTAATTTTATCACAGGAACCAATTGAAAGGTTGATGGAGATTATGTGGATATTGTTTCAACCTTTGCTCTTTGGCCTCATCGGGGCAGAGGTCAAACTCAGTTACCTTGACCCTTCATCAATTGGTAAGATTGTCATGTAAATAAAAACATGCAATAAAATTTACAACAGTGTTGAGATAAATACGGACTCGCACCCAGTATAAGATATTTTCCGTTGGTAGCCCTTTCAGCCATGCTGATTTTAAGGTACAGTACCATTTAGACCTATGTTTCACTATGATTTTCCATTCATATCCCTTCTGACATGAAACACAAAACCGTTTTTGCAAAATTTAAAATGAAAATTTCCGATAATCAGGCAACTACCACTGGGGGACTTTCAGAGGCCTATCACTCTACGTAGTTACCATCATGGATTAAATCAACGATAAAACTAAATTACTAACAAGCACAAATATTTTAAAACAACATAAACATGAAATATCCTAAAAAGCTACCGTAAAACCTCGAATTGAAGCCCTGGGCTTCTTTTTATTGCGAACTTTGGATGGGCCTCTTTTCGAGATGGGCTTCTTTTCAAGATAGGCTTCTTTTCGAGGCTAATTTTGCAAAGTAAAGAGGGGTGGGGGGTTTCTTTTCAAAATGAATGCTGTTAATTTTGTGAATTTATCCTATAAAACAATAAATAATGCCACTGTAACATCAATCTGTATCATGGAGTGGATTTAACTGGCTATATCACCTAAACTAATGTATAACTCAAGCTTGTTTTTAATTTATTTTGTTTTTCGAAATTCATATACAGTGTATGTACTGTACTATCTAAAAATGAAGCCTATGCTATCTTGAAAAAGAAGCCCATGGGCTTCAATTCGAGATGGGCTTATCTCGAGATTTAGCCCACTGAGCTTCAATTCGAGGTTTTACGGTATTTCAATGTTTACATATACAGTAATTACAGTAATCAGCAAGGTCGTATCTGTTGTCTACTGCTGCTATAGCAAAGGTCTAGGGGCGGTATCAAGCTAGGCCACTGGAAGTCCTCCAGTGAGTTGCAAGACGTTGGCGGCGTTGTTTCAAAATAAAAATGGTCTATCAGTTAATGTTCTGTCGACCACGCTAGCAAATATCTGTGATTTGCCCATATATGGAATTAATGTTGATGTCTGTCATACCATGCCCATATATGTGCAAATCACATGTATCTATTAACAATTTGATAGTGTAGACAAAGCTTAAATCATATTATGATGATGGGTGTGAAGTTGTTTTGAGTCATCCAAAATTTGAACACATGAACCCTGAGATTGGAGGTGGAGCATATTTTAGCAACTCCATGCCAAAGATGGACTCCTCCCTAGCCCCCAAAAAAGCCACCAAACCTGGCTTCTATTTTTGTATTCATAGTATGTAAAGAATGAAATATTCCTAACATGGTACATATTTTACTACTACTAATATTATTATTATTATTATCATTTATTTTATTATTAAAATAACCACAGGTCTTGGTATGGCTGTAGTTTTGATTGGTCTAACCATGAGAATATTAGTCTCCATACTGGCTGTAAGTGGTGCTGGCCTTACTAACAAAGAAAAGGTATTTGTAGCAATAGCCTGGCTTCCAAAGGCTACAGTACAGGTGGGTTCCTTCTCATGATCGCTGTACACTAATTATCAAATCTATTTCATACAGTACAGTATATGCAAGCACTCTGTACAGTGGTGGCACCAGGATTTGCCCGAGGGGGGGGGGGGAACCGAGGTGACCGAAGCACCCCACCAAGGGGTCAGATTTCCCTGACGAAAGGAAAGTTGGCGTGTTCTGGCTTCGAGTAAAAGGTTACGAAAGTGGTCCTTGAGGGTAAAGCCCCGGAAATTTTGACAATTTAGGGGTTTCAAAGGCTTATTTAATCGATTTTAGAGTCTACTAATATGTAGAAAATACATATAATTTTTTTTTTTATCCCCAACGGGGGGATGCAGCAGTATAAAAATAACATTAAATATTAATAATAATATATACAAAGCACTTAATGCGAGATATGAAAAAAACAGGGTGCCCAGGGCTTGGGGACTGCAGTGAAATTTAGGAAACAGGGGTGCTGCAATGTTCCCATCCTTTGATCTGCTACTGTCATGTACCAAGATACAGCAAAATACAATTAGAAATTGTTAAGTGAAGAAAACATTTGTTTGTGAAAAAATAAAAGTTTCAGCTTAAGTTGATATACAGTAATTATCTTTTGCAGGCTGCTATAGGTTCTGTTGCCTTGGATACAGCAAGGGAAAGAGATGCTGGGGAGCATCTAGAGGACCTTGGAAGACAGGTACAGTATGCAAATTAGATCAATTTTATGAATATTTATACATTTGTGGGGGTGAAATCTGAATGTGTGTATGGATATAGGCGTACACTGCCAGTGGCTGTGCCAAGATTTGTCCTATGGATATGGGGGGGGGATTCTGACGATTTCTGGTTTAATATCCTTTCATACATATGGAAGGCTCCCCCCAGATTACCAGTACGGTACAGGCGCAAGTTATTATATTGGGTTTTTTGGAAGAGCTATTAAGATAGAAATTTTTAAATAATTAGAATGTGTATTTGTACAAAAAAAAAATATTTAGAATGTTTTTTGTACAAAATTAAAATATCTTAAAATTGAATAAAAAAAATTTCTTAAAATTAGAAAAAAAAATGGAATACTGCAAAGCGATTCAAACTCACAATCTTAATTTCTTTAGAACACATCCATGTGACGTGTTCTGTTAGTGGAAATGGCAGTAACGTACAGTCCTTTCTAAAACCCCTGATTTGTTATGTAGGTGTAGGGGAAACCCTGGGGTCCAACTTTAAAAAAGGGCAATATCGTTTGTTGGAAATCACCTCTAGTTTATGTGTACAAAATTTCCTGCACGTCCGTTCAAAACTGGCGATGCGGGATGCTTTTAAAGTTCTGGTAACAAGAACCAGAACAAGAACAGCAGTGAGGCTCTGGGGGTCAACGTCTTGCGCATTCCCAAAAATTACTGTAACTCATTATTGGTACAGATACAAGTGCAGATTTACTACCTAATCAATCATAATTATCTGTTGCAGATTCTGACAATTGCGGTACTTGTTATCCTCATCACTGCTCCGATTGGTGCCATTCTGATCATGCTCACCGGTCCGAAGCTCCTCCAGACTAACCAACCACTGAACTCCATCAAAGAATTTGTTGAGGTAGCACCTGAAGAGAGAGGGCTGGCATCGGAAGATGTGATAAGGAATGGAGAAGTATGTGGTGTTGAGGAAGGCCAAATGGATAAAACAGACAATTACAGTCAAACAGTTGTGTAATTGTGTGATTTAAATAGTTTACAATTCTTGATGTAGGTACTGTGCAAGGTTCTGTTACTTCTGCTTAGCCAGGAGTACAAAAGTTTACTGTGTGTTAGGATAACTGAATTAGTATGTGTGTGTATGCATTATCAATCTTCTATTTCCAAGTCCGTTGAGGCTTGGGGAAGAAAGAAAGATGGTCTGTGACCAGTCACTTTAAATACTGGACCCTAAGTGCTTTATCACCAGGTTTCTTGAACTTGGGGAGTGGAGCTGTTTTTAGTAGAGAAATGCCCTTCAGAAGGGATAAATATATGATTTTAAAATTAGAATTTCTGGACCAAATAAAAATGTAAATGTATTATCCAATACTACCTTCATAGTCTATTGTTGAAATGTCAAATTTTTTATAATTACATGTAAAATGCTCCTGTCTCATAG